GGGGGTAACTGATCATTTCTCCTTTCAAATAAACTTTGCCAAGTTCTTCATATACATTCTAGTTGTGAAGATTTTATTCATATTTGAAGCATCAAGTAATTATTAGTTATTATGTGAAGAGATCCTTTTAAATTTTGAAATGCTATTTTAATAGACATTTAAAAGTATGGAGGTTAGAAATAGACAAATTAAACCAAACAAATCCTTTTAATAGCCATCTTGCTTGGCAGCAAATTGGAGAGGGAGTAGAGAATGTGACCTCTTTAAGACTGTATATTTTTCTTTAAATGTGTCTTAGCCAGACCTACTATACATTACAAAGAGCATCTAAGTTCCCCATGAGCCACAGACTATTAACATGCGAATCAGATCCTTAAACCCTCGGTGCTGGGCATCATAGGAGGCACTAGACCTACTGCCCCAAATGAGGTTCCTCTGTGTTCATTCTGGAAGGCCTACTACAAGAAGTCCATGAGGACTGGCAGATTTTATCAATGAGCATCACAGAGGAAGTGGGTGGCTAGTATGAGAGGGGTGGAGTGGTTTATCCCAGAGGAAATAAAGTCACCTTCTTAGAATGAAAATGAGAAAAAAAGTCCATGCAATTTATTTTAAATCCAGTCTTAGAAGGGAATTAAAAGGACTTTAGCAGGAGCATGCTGTCTCTACAAATTAAGTTTCCTCAGTGACTCAGGGGAGACCAGACCAGCTTAAGAAACACGTTTTAGTCTTTCAGTCAGAACATTCGCTGTGGGAAAGGGAAAGGAAAACAAAAATAAATAAATAAATAAATAAATTTTTAAAAGCCAGATTGTATAGTTTCATTCTCCTAACCCTTCTACCAGCACAGGCTTCTATTTATAAAATGCCAAATATCTGCATGCAAAGTAGAAAGTTGATTAATCTTATCAGAAGAGCTAGATATTAATAGCACATACGAAACTAGGTAATATATGGCCTATACTTTCACTTAGAAATAGTCATGTTAAGATGCTTTATTTAGTAAGATGAATAGTATATAGTGATTTGTACCTAAGATATAAGGGGGGGAAATCTAACTGATAGTCTCATATACAGAGAGAATGGATTTAGAATTTAACATGTAGAATTATTCATTTTATACAGGAAGAAAAACTGGAGTCTCATTTACAAAACCTGTCTACTCTCATGGCACCAACATACAAGAAACTTGCACCTGATGCATATAATAATCAGGTAAGTTTAAATAACTGACAACAATTGGGACCATTTACTTAGTATTGATGACCTATCTACCTACTTCCAATAATATTTTTGAAATGATTTTTAAAAAATTTTTCTAACTTTTTTCTATCTAATTGTTGAAATTACTGCTGTGTTCTGTTTCTGGTAAATATAAAGTATACCATTTTGCTCTTTTAATCTGTAAATATGAGCTTTTGAGGCTCACAATATCTACTAATTGTGTTCTCATCAAATAATTTTGTCCCTGTAAGCAGACTTTGGTGATTAATTAAAATTCTGTGGCCCAAACTATAGGTTCAACCATTTAACAACTGTTTTCTCAGGATGTCTATACATAGAAAGCTGCTAGAGGCCCAGTGCACGAAATTCATGCAAGGAGCTTGGCCCTCGCAGCCGCGTCGCTTGCCTCGGCCCTCGCAGCCCCGGCTTCATCCGAAGGTCATCCGGAAGGCTGTCCAGCTGTCCGGTCTAATTAGCATATTACTCTTTTATTATTATAGATGGGTGCACTACTTTGCAAGTGTCCAGATATGCCAGATTTTGCCAGGTCCTTTTTATTTTGGCCTTGGCTCTGTGAACCAAGCAAAAACATTTTTTCCTTATTGTATAAGTATGTTCTACACTGTACATATTTAGAAGGCTAGATTTTTCTCTTTTTAAATTGAGTTTATTTGGGTTACATTGGTTAATAAAATTATATATGTTTCAGGTATGTAACCCTACAGTACATCATCTGTATATTGTATTGTGACCCCAGGTCAAGTCTCCTTCCATCATCATTTATTCCCCCTTTATCCTCTTCTACTTCTTCCCACCCACCCCCCTTCCCTCCGGCAATGACCATACTGTTGTCTGTGTCCGTGAGTCTTTCTTTTTTCTTTGCTTAATCCCATTACCTTTCTCACTCAGGCCCAACACCCTCTCCTTTGATAGCAGTCAGTCTGTTTTCTATATCTATGAGTCTGTCTCCACTTTGTTAGTTTATTTTGTTCATTAGATTCCATATGTAAGTGAAATCATATGATAACTTGTCTTTCTCTGACTGGCTTATTTCACTAGCATAATACTCTCCAGGGCTACGTTTTCTAAAGTATTTGTTCAGAAATACTCATGAAGGAAGCAGAAGACTATCCTGTTTCAATAATATCAACAACAAAAAGTAGTAAATAAAAACCTGATACAAACCAGACACTGTTTAGTCACTGTGGATCTACATATGAGCAATGTAGGTTTTCTGTCTTTAAGGAATTTCTTCTCTAAGTGAGATATAGATATGTACAATAGCAATTACAGAATAATACAATAACAGTTGGGCTAGACGATGCACATGTTTCTGAAGAACCAAAAAGGTTCTCCCTGAGAGTAGAGTAGAGATGTAAGGTCACAAAATTCTTGGAGGCCACATAAAGGATTGTTGAACTTTATCATGTAGGTAAGAAAGTGACCATTTGGGTGTGCTAAGTGTGTGTTGGGGGGTGGGGAGAGGACGAAGTGATTTAATTTTAAAAAGGTTGCTCAACTACCCAAATATGAATTTTTCATAGGTGCTATTAATCAAATTATTTTAGCTGGGGAAAGGGACAGGATAACAAAACATTGATGTGCTTTTTTACTCCTTTGATTCTCATTATAGACTGTCTCATTCACACCTGATCTTCTAAGCATTTATATTTAACCTATTACACTTTCTTTGGAGTATTTTATGCATCTCCTGAACCTGGAGTGCTCAAAATATGGAAGTAGTCAAAATTTTTAAGTTATAGCAAAGTGACTATATATAACTTCTGAGATGTGTTTCACTATCTTTGTAGGAAAAACTGTAAAGGTGTACTAATCAATGGGCATCAAGTGTTGGTTAGGCAAGATGAATAAGCTGTAGAATCTGCTGTATAACATTTATACCTATAGTCAAAAAAATGTATTGTAACTTAAAATGTGTTACAAGGGTAGATCTCATGTTAAATGTTCTTATCACAATAAAATAAAATTTAACTGCATACATTTGTACATACAAATAGATTTAATGTCTCTAAATTAATTCAATTAATGGCTGTGAATGGATAGGTGTTTTTTTTATATATGCATGATAGGTAAAAATAAAATTTAACTGCATACATTTGTACATACAAATAGATTTAATGTCTCTAAATTAATTCAATTAATGGCTGTGAATGGATAGGTGTTTTTTTATATATGCATGATAGGTACCATTAGTAATGTTCATCTATATGTCTTAACATGGTTTAGAGATCAAAAAAGAGCCATGTGACCTTTCTACACAGTAAATGGGAAGATGTTTTGAGGTATGGATGCTGGAAAAACCTACCATTTGATTTTTGCCTGCTTCCCTTAACTGAATATATTAACTTTATTTCTCATATCTGAATGTGCTTCCTTGCTTTATTCCCTGTTTTCATAGTTAAAGTCTTGTTGCTAAAGTTAAGCTTCATTGGGTCTTCAAAGCATTTCTTGATATTTTTTTAGAGAGAGAGGAAGGAGGAGGGATATATAGAAACATCGATGAGAGAGAAACTTCATTGACTGGCTGTACACCCACTACTGTGGACTGAGCCTACAACCTGGGCATGTGCCTTGACCAAGAATCAAACCAGTGATCTCTTGGTTTCTGGGTCAATGCTCAGCCACTGAGCAACACTGGCCAGGCCAGAATCATGAGTTTCAATACACAAATATACTATGTGAACCCAGTAGTAAATAATATCCAAGCCATCAAAAACATCATGTTGTGAGATTCTAGCCATGATGAATTCCCAGGGACTGGATTTACTTTGTGTGTGTGTGTGTGTGTGTGTGTGTGCAAAACAATTTTTTATATGTAGAAGTTGTAGAAGTAGAAAAAGCACAGGATAGTAATGCCAGAGAAAGGTGAATTTATCACATGGACCCGGACAACAGTGTGGTGACAGCCAGAGGAAAAGGGGGGTGAGGTAGAGGTGGAGGTGAGCAAAGGGGGGGAAATGGGGGTAGAAAGAGACTTTGCTTGGGGCAGTGAGCGCATGACGCAGTGTGCAAATGATGTTTTATTGAGTCGTACACTTGATACCTCTATGGTTTTGCAAACCAATGTCACCCTAATAAATTCAATTTAAAAAAAAAAAAGACAAACCTATGATTACCATAACTTATTTCCTGAAGAGTACATTAGGCTCCAGGACTGGGAGGAGGTTCCTGAACAGACCCCAGGGTTATCCATGCATTAAGGAGACAAAGCTCAGAATATGGAGAAGTAACATCATAGAACTTACAACCCAGAGTATCAGGGAGGAGAGAGCATCATTGAGAAGAGCGCCCATATCTGTAGAAAGCTCTGCTTGCATCTTCAGCTGACTACTGAACAGTGCATGCATGTGAAGAGATTACCAAGGCTGTAGAAAGAGACATCCAAAGCACTAGGCAGAACAATCCCTTGGTTTCATAACAGGACCTGGAAAGGTTTTGTTAATACTATTCAGAAGGAAAAGACCTATTAACATACGAACTTACAAAGAGCATATTCAGAATCTTATGGCCTTGGTAGCAGAAGTAGATTAGGCTATTCTGATCCCATCTAAAGATGGTTAAAGTCAAGTCTTGAAAGCATCAAACTGACTCCAAATAATGGCATCCCAGAACAAAGTCTTAAAAAAAATCTCTGAAACGAGGTAAAATTTATAATATCTTAATCCCATAAAAATTACTAGGCATAGCCTGGCCAGTGTGGCTAGGTGGTTGAACGTCGACCCATGAACCAAGAGGTCATGGCCCACTTGCCCAGGTTGCAGGCTCAATCCCTGGAGGGGGCGTGCAGGGGGCTGCCAATCAGTGTTTCTCTCTCATCAGTGTTTTTATCTCTCTATCCCTATCCCTTCCTCTCTCTCTAAAATCAATAGAAACATATTTTTAAAAATTACGAGGCATACAAAGAAGTGAGAAAATATGACCCATAATGAGGGTAAGGGGAAAGCAATCAATAGACATTGTTCCAAAAATGACATGGTAATATGTAGACAAGGGCATTAAAATATATCAGAGGAAAGTATAAGCATGATAAAAGAAAACTAAGAAGATATAAAAAAGACCCACATTAAACTTCTAGAAATGAAAAATATATGATGCCTGGATAAAAGAATACATTAGATGGAATCAACAGCAGATTAGTGAGCTGGAATATAAGCAATAGAAAAATTTCAATGTGAAATAAAGAGAAAAACCAAAACTGGAAATAAAATTAATAGATTGATGACCTACTAATGATTAAACTAATTATTACACTAATATATATGTAATTAGAGTACCAGAAGGAGATAGTGTACAGAAAAATTTAAAGAAATAAGAGCTAAATTTTCCCAAAAAAATTTGTTCAAAACTATAAACCCGTTGATCCTAGAAGCTGAGCTAGCCCCTAATAGAGGTGGAAAAAAAGACAGAAGTGGACTAGATGAAAGATACATGGAAATCAATTTGCTTAAAGTCAGTGATAAAGAGAAAAATGTGAAAAGCAGATGGAGAAAAAAAAGACTTATTACATTTAGTGAGAAAACTAATAATAAACATAGGAAACTTCATGTCAGGAAAAGCAAGAAAGAAGACAGAGGAGAAATATCTTTAAAGTACTGAAAGAAAAAACAAACTGTCAACTTAGAAAACCAGTGAAAACAACTCTTAAAAGTAAAGACAAAATAAAGATTTTCTTCAGACAAAAGCTGAAATAATTTACCACCAGCAGACTAACATTTCAAAAATGTTAAAGGAAGTCTTCTGGTAAAAAGTAAATGATACCAAATAGAAATCTGGATTGATTAAAAAAAAATCACAAATAATATATATGTGAGTAAAAAGACTTTTTTCTTATTTTAAAGATATTTTGCTAAATAAAAAAATATTAACAGTGTACTCTGAGATTTATAACATGTTGAAGTAGCACAGAGGCTTGGGAATTGGAAGACCGTAGTTTCCCTCCACCGCAATCTACAAGCAATACATTCTAATACCCCCAGAGGATGCCTGAAATTGTGGATAGTACTGAACCCCACATATACTTTTGTTCCTATACATACAAACCGATGCTAAAAGTTAATTTATAAGTTAGGCATAGAAAGAGAGTAAAAGCAATAAGCAAATAGGATAATTATCTATATATATAAAAGCCTAAGCAACTGGACGACCGGACGGTAGCTATGATGCACACTGACCAACAGGGGGCAGACGCTCAATGCAGGGGTTGACCCTTCATGGTCAGTGTGCTCCCACGGTGGAAGCGTCACTCAGCTGACAAACGGGCGCCAGATGCCGGGCAGATGGCTGGTGAGCACAGCTGTGACAGTGCGAGCCTCTCCTGCCCTGCGCACCTGAGTGGCAGTGGTGGCAGGTGCAGCGGGGGGCCGAGATGAGCTGGAGCCAAAGGGCCCAGCCTGGGCTTGGGCTCCTTCCCGGCCGCCTGCTGCTTGGCGCACTACTTTGTGCTGTGCAGCATCGACACAGACAGCGGGCTGGAGCCCAACGAGCTGGCGGGTAAGACCAGGCTACAGTAGTGTGGAGTGCACTTATCCCTGCAAGCCAAGCTGAGGGACCCCACCAGTGCACGAATCCGTGCACCGGGCCTATAGTAACAATATATTGTAATAAAAGTTATGTGAATATGGTCTCTCTCTTTCAAAATATCTTATGGACTGTACTCAGCTTTTCACTTAAAGAGAGCAGTTTATGGCTTCTCTTTGGCATATCCAAATTACCAGCATCACTGTGCATGTGTTGTGGGCCATCATTAAGTAAAGTAAGGTGACTTGAACACAAGCACTGAGATACCACACAGTCAATCTGATAGCAAGTTGACTGCCAAGTGACTAATGGGTAGGCTGGCACATATAGCTAGAGATGCTGGACAAAGAGATGACTCACCATTCAGGTGGGACTGAGTAGGTTGGTGTGAGATTTCATCACACCCCTCAGAATGGTGTGCAATTTAAAACTTATAAATGGTTTATTTTTTGAATTTTCCATTGAATATGTTTGGACCACTATTGACGACAGGTAACAGAAACTGTGGAAAGCAAAACAGTGAATAAGGGGAGATTACTGCATACTGTTATAAGGTTCTCATGTATGGAGTGGTATAATATTACTTAAATGTAGACTGTGGTAAGTTAAAGAGCACACCATAAACTTTAAAGCAAGCAGCCACTACATTAAAGCCAATTAAATTAAATTCTGTACCAGAAAGATGCCTACAAAATCTCTAAATATCTGGAAATGGAGCAATATATGTCTAAATGACATATGAGTCAAAGAATAAATTATAAGGGAAATTAGAAAGTATTTCAAACTAAATGAAAGTTAAGAGATGACATTAAAATTTGTGGGATGCAGCTATAAAGCATTGCTTAGCTGCGGTTCTCAACCTGTGGGCCGCGACCCCTTTGGCAGTCGAACGACCCTTTCACAGGGGTCACCTAAGACCATCCTGCATATCAGATATTTACATTATGATTCATAACAGTAGCAACATTACAGTTATGAAGTAGCAATGAAAATAATTTTATGGTTGGGTCACAACATGAGGAACTGTATTTAAAGGGCCAGAAGGTTGAGAACCACTGGATTAGAGAACTATAGCATTGAACACTTATATTAGAAAAAAAAACTAATCAGCAGTGATAGAGATCAGTGGGTGCCTGAAAACAAAGAGGAGGCATGAATTATAAAGCGGTATGAGGAAATTTGGGGGAGTGATGGATATATACATTATTTTGATGGTGGCATGGTTTCATGTATTATTATGTCAAACCTCAACACTGTCAAATAAAAACTTTACTATGTCAAGGTATTGGCTTTATTGTGTACCATCCTCTTGTTTTTGGATCTAAAGTAGGCAACAATTCTAAAAGTTCTAAATATTACAGTGTCTTTTTGACCTATTCAGTGCACAGGTCTTGGACTTTCTTATCAAATGTATGCCCAGGAATTTAAAAAGCCTGAGTACCTCCCCACTCACACACATACTTGTATTTTTCAGATTGAATATGAACACCGAGCGCCAGAGTGCCGCCTGGGTCTGAAGGAAGGCCGTCCATTCTCAGGGGTCACTGCGTGCTTGGACTTCTGTGCTCACGCCCACAGAGACTTGCACAACATGCACAATGGCAGCACCTTGGTAAGTGCGGCCGAGGACGGGCAAGCAGCCTGCCCCGTGGAGGAGCAGCGGGCTGGCAGGGAGCAGCATTTGCTTAGAGTAACACGCTCTCTGCAGGTGTCACACAGCACAGCCGCGTTTTCATGAATGAACTGTTGTTGCATAACTGTTTGGCATAACTAGTACTCTCATAACAGGTTGGCACACCAGGGGAAACTGTGTTGACAGGCACATGAAAATCATGGAAATTCTCGGTGCTAATCTAAACCAGTGACTATGAGTTGCCAGCTCCTAGCAGTTGGCTGCCAAAAAAATCTTTAAAAATTACGTGTCAGATATCTGGTAGGTTATGATCAGTTAAGCAACAAGCCAAAGTACCAGTCACCTTGCAGAGAAGTTCACACAGAAGCACATCGTCACTGTCGCAGTAACTGCTATAGAAGATTCAAAGTGAAAAAGAGCCCACGGGAACTATATATTCCAATGGGTGAAATGCATTGGGCCTTATAACTGAAGGCTATGGTACGGGGAGAAAATGAATACGGTCTTAGGGTAGGACAACCTTCCATAATAACAAAGTCCAGGAAAAGGGCTTGCCTGGAGAGAGATGATCCGAGGTGGAGATAAGGAATGAGAAAGCTCAAGTGAAGAAACTGCATTAATCAACCTAACGTAGTGGTTCTCAACCTTCCTAATGCCGCGACCCTTTAATACAGTTCCTCATGTTGTGGTGACCCCCAACCATAAAATTATTTTCGTTGCTACTTCATAACTGTAATTTTGCTACTGTTATGAATCATAATGTAAATATCTGATATGCAGGATGTATTTTCATTGTTACAAATTGAACATAAAGCATAGTGATTAATCACAAAAACAATATGTAGTTATATATGTGTTTTCCAATGGTCTTAGGCGACCCCTGTGAAAGGGTCGTTCGACCCCCAAAGGGGTCGCGACCCACAGGTTGAGAACCGCTGACCTAACGCGTCATCAACATGGATATAGTTATAGTTAAGGAAGGTGACCAGTTAATGAGAAAACAAACGACGGGCACTAAAGTTATATTGTAGGGTAGAAAAGAATTCAGGGAGGTAGTAGCAATAGTGGAAAGAATTTGAGAAAACTGGTGCACATGATGAGAGAAAATCACTGATCCGCTGCCTCCTGCACACACCATGCTCGGGATCGAGCCCACAATCCAGGCATGTGCCCTGACTAGGAATGGAACTGCGACCTCTTGGTTCATAGGTTGATGCTCAGTCATTGAGCCATGCTGCTGGGGGAATTGATCCACTCTTTATTAATAACAGACATAGTTTTATGGTCACTGGTGTGGTCCAGTAGACCACCAACCACAAATCTAAATACTAGGAGCAAGAAACACACACACACACACACACACACACTGTTGTTCTGAACTGAAACAGGCTGTTTGTCTTACTTTCCTACCAGGTATGCACCCTCACAAGAGAAGACAATCGAGAAATCAGAGGCAAGCCTGAGGATGAGCAACTCCATGTGCTGCCGCTCTACAAAGTCTCTGATGTGGATGAGTTTGGGAGTGTAGAAGCTCAGGAGGAGAAGAAACGAAATGGTGCTATTCAGGTGCTAAGTTCTTTTCGGCGGAAAGTCAGGATGTTAGCAGAGCCAGTGAAGACGTGCCGACAGAGGAAACTAGAAGCCAAGAAAGCTGCCGCCGAAAAGCTTTTTTCTCTGGAGAACAGCGCACATAAGAATGAAAAGGACAAGTCCGCCCCATCCCGCACAAAGCAGACTGAAGGTGCAGCCCAGGCTAAACACTTGGCAGGTAAATTTAATGTGAAGCCTTGTAGATACATGTGTTATATGATACTTCAAATGAGCATTGTTCATTTTGGAAGGTCACATTTAGTCATGGTCTTAGTTCTGTACCAGAATCTTCTCTAAAGTCCCAAGGGCCAGGCTTTGTTCTTGGAGATGGTACTGAGCTATTGCACCATCAGCCCCAGCTTGATGGGGAACTTTGGATGTTATTCTATAATAAGTGGCAAAATCTCCTGAAAGATAAGTGATATGGTAAAATCAGTGTTAATCGAGCAGTGGCAGGTAGACCACATTAGAGCTGAAGAAGCTAATAGTTTGGAGACAGAAGCAATAAACCAAGAGTGAGGTAATAAGAGCTTGAATTTTAGTGGTGACAATGAAGATGTAGCAGAAATGATGGGAGTGAATTCTTCCAAAATTAATACCAATATACTGATGGCAAAACATTGGGATAAGGAGGTGACAGATTTAAGGATGACTCCAAAGTTTTAAGCCCAGATAATGTAAGCAGTACAATTTATTGAAATAAGTTTTGGAGCAAGTTTAAGGGGGTAGTGGTGGGAGAATAAGATGCCTTTCCTTAGCCATATTATGTTTGAGGTTTAGGAGATGGGTCCACATGTAGTTCTTATAAAGCTTTCACCCATCCCAATGGATCACATCTACAGTAGTAGCAATAGAACATGACTTATCAATACTTAGTTGATATTTTCTGTCCATAGCCCCTTGCTTTATATCTGCAGTTAGTGTAAGGAATCATACAACAATGTAATAATGTCCATATCCAAATTGTAGGCCTGACTATTAACAAGAGAAAAGTGTATACCTTGTAAGTTTAGTGAACCAGTTTGCTTAGAACCAACCATCTTTGTCGTACAAAGTCAAATCTTCCTGGTAATTCATTGTGAAGCCCAAAGAAACTAAGTAATTTAGAATAATGTGCCAAAGATGCTTAATAAATATTTGTTGATTGGTTGACCCACTATGAGAAACTAATCCCATGCAGTCCATGATGTCCCTTTAAGTTAGCTGTAAAGTGTAAGCATGTAGAACTTGGCCTCTTGTCCCTTCTAACCGGCTTCTGCAACGATCGTTTCGGTGGTCAGGGCTGCCAGTGCAGCTCCATCTGTTCTGATCTCAGGTAACGCTCTTAAGTGAGGTCATGAAACAACAGCATGACTTTTTAAAGTTTTCAACTTGCAAAGCTGAAAGTTTCATTCAAGTTTTATCTACAACTCTGTAAATTTCCTTTCTCAAGAGCATGCTAATGAAATGGGTTCGTGTGTTATACAAGATCCTTTGGGTGTTTGAATGAATGTCATTTTTCTTCTCATTGCATTGCTGAATCTTTTCATAACAAATTTTATACTACTTAATTTTAATATTTAACCAATTTTATTGCATGCCAGGTAGTGTAGAAATAAAGTAAAATAAGGCATGGTCCCTTCCCATGGGAAATTCCTTCTTAGGAGGATAAAGAGGGGGCTAAAAATGGATGATTACAATGCATTGTGACTGTTGCTTCATGTGCTTTGTGGTGGGTACTGCAAAAGCCCTGGAAGATGGGATGCCTGTGCCAAGGGAGGGCAGGGAGCTGGGTGGAGGGTGGAGGGCACTTCATGCAGAGAGTTTGGCATGATCAGAAGCAGAGGCTCCAGAGAATGTGATGCTCTCCGTGGAATGTCTTTCGGATGTTTACTACCTTTACCTTCACTTACCCGACTGTCCTTTTATGAGGTCTGTCATTTTATTTCTAACTAGAGGCCCTGTGCACGAAATTAGTGCACTTGGAGGGTATCCTACAGCACGGATTGCAAGAGGGCACAGGCCAGGCTGAGGGACCCCACTGGTGCACTATTGGGGCCGGGGAGGGGTGCAGGAGATTGGCCAGCTGGGAAGGGACTGTGGGAGGACTCCAGGGCGTGTTCGGCCTGTCTCACTCAGTCTCGATCAGCCGGACCCCAGCAGCAAGCTAACCTACCAGTTGGAGCATCTGCCCTCTGGTAGTGCACGTCATAGTGACTGGTCAACTGTCTTCCCCCTGGTGGTCAGTGCACGTCATAGCGAGTTGAGCTGCCTTAGCATATATTAGCATATTATGCTCTGATTGGTTGAATGGCCAACCGGATGACTGGACACTTAGCATATTAGGCTTTTATTATATGGGATGCTTTAGACACAAAAAATAATGCCAGACAGTCATCAGCACCCTGACTCTGCTCTTACCTTGTTTGATGGGTGTTGTATAATCCTGGTGGTGGTTCTTACATGCATTTAAGCATCCTCACTAGCTTTCATAAAACAATGGTCAAGCATGCTTGTTCCTGCTCTTTTCTTATCTTGTCCACAAAACTTCTATGACTTTCAGGATCAGTCATGCAGCTGTCCCAGCAGCCCCAGCCCCAGTCACAGCCCCAGCAACTACAGAAGCAGCCTCCACAGCCACAGAAGCAGCCGCCGCAGCCGCAGCCGCAGCCGCAGCCGCAGCCACAGCCACAGCCACAGCCACCCCAGCAGCAGCCACCCCAGCAGCAGCCACCACATCACCCCTTGACTAATAGCCATCATTCAGAGACTGTCAACTCTTACTATTCTTCTGGACACACCAATCTATATATGAGACGGCCCAATCCAGTCAGTCCTTATCCAAGCTCTTCACACACTTCGGATATTTATGGAGGAGGCGCCAACTGTGTGAACTACTATTCCACCTCATCCCAAACTGCGGGTTCATATTTGAATTCTTCTAATCTCATGAGCCCCTACCCTGGGCTTCTAAATCAGAACAACCAATATCCATCATATCAGTGCAACGGAAACGTATCCATGGACAGCTGCTCCTCCTATCTGGGTTCTTACTCTCCCCAGTCCCAGCCCATGGATCTCTATAGGTATCCAAACCAAGACCCTCTCTCTAAGCTAAATCTGCCGCCCATCCACACGCTTTACCAGCCGAGGTTCGGAAACAGCCCGAGTTTTACTTCCAAACCCTTGGGTTACGGAAACCAAAATATGCAGGGGGACACCTTCAGGAGCTGTACTCCCAGGCCCACCGTGCGCCACGTGGGGACGCTGCCTCCTTATTCCACGCCCGAGATGGATGGTCACTTCCTGGGGGCCACCTCTAGATTCCCACCCAATTTGAGCAACCCCAACATAGACTATAAAAACGGGGAGCATCCCCCACCTTCTCGTATGCTCCATAACTACGGTGCCGCCCCGGGCATGTTCAACAGCTCTCTCCACGCGCTGCACCTCCAGAACAAGGAGAACGACATGCTTTCCCACACAGCTAACGGGCTCCCCACGATGCTTCCCGGCCTGAGCCACGATCGAGCTGCCGCTGCCCAGCAAGGCTTGCACAGGTTGCTAGACGCGAGCAGCCAGGACAAGCAGCCCCCTGCCGCGGAGGAAAACGATGAGGTCTGGTCCGACAGCGAGCAGAGCTTCCTGGACCCTGACATCGGGGGCGTGGCGGTGGCGCCGGCTCACGGGTCCATTCTCATCGAGTGTGCAAAGCGGGAGCTGCACGCCACGACCCCCTTAAAGAATCCCAACCGGAATCACCCCACCAGGATCTCGCTCGTCTTCTACCAACACAAGAGCATGAACGAGCCCAAACACGGCTTGGCGCTCTGGGAGGCCAAGATGGCCGAGAAAGCCCGGGAGAAGGAGGAAGAGTGCGAGAAGTATGGCCCGGACTACGTGCCTCAGAAAACGCACGGCAAGAAAGTGAAGCGGGAGCCCACCGAGCCGCACGAGCCCTCCGAGCCCACCTACCTGCGCTTCATCAAGTCCCTGGCCGAGAGGACCATGTCGGTGACCACAGACTCCACAGTCACCACATCTCCGTATGCCTTCACTCGGGTCACGGGGCCTTACAACACATACGTGTGACGTCGCCCCTGGTGTTGGTTACCTCATTCGAAAAGACCACAGCCAACCGGCCCACAGTGTAGTTCTCATGACATGGGCCCTGGGGACAGGGACACAGTATTCATGACAAAGGTGGTAGGAAGAACCTCAGCTCACCAGCAAACGCAAAAGAGGTCACCTTCCCATAGCACTTAATTCCCACTGACTCCTAAGTGGTCACAGATGGCATCCATGCAAAAGACCAAAGCATTCTATGCAAAACGAAGGTGGGGAAGAGAGTGTTCCACCATTTACATTTTTAAACACTGGTTCTATGATTGGACGAGATGATAATGTAAATGTGACTTTTCCCCACCTTACAACTCTCCACATCTGTGACCACTTTTTAGTAATACCAAGTTTGCATAGTCCTGGACACAAATCCAGCGAGTACTGTAGTGTTACAGTGGCAGGATTCTTAAACACCATCTGGTGCTGAACATATAATGTACTGAAATACTGGAATTATGGTTTTTTAACATGCAGTTTTTACTGTAATCTTAATATTAACTTTTATTTATCAAATAGCTACAGGAAGCATAAATGAATAGACCGCAAAACACTGAATTTGTTTGGGTGTTCTAAGAAATGGTGCTAAGAAAATGGTGTCTTTAATAGTTGAAAATTTAATGCCTTTATATCATCAAGATGCTATCAGTGAACTCCAGTGCCCTTGAATAATAGGGGTACCTTTTCATTCAAGTTTTTATTATAATTACCTATTCTTACACAAGCTGTTTTTAAAATGTGGACATTTTAAAGGCCTCTGGATTTTGCTCATCCAGTGAAGTCCTTGTAGGACAATAAACGTATATATGTACATATATATATACATATATATATACACACACATGTATATGTGCACACACATGTATATGTATAAATATTTTAAATGGTGTCTTAGAAGCACTTTGCCTACCTAAGCTTTGACAACTTGAACAATGCTAAGGTACTGAGACGTTTAAAAAAAAAAGTTTACTTTCATTTTAGAATGCAAAGTTGATTTTTTTAAGAAAGCTTTTAAAATATTTTTGCTTTTAGCCATGCGTCTGCTGATGAGCAATGTGTCCATTTTTCATACAGCCAGTTCAATCCAAAAGGGGGCTTACTGGATTCAAGGGAATACGTTAGTCCATAAAACATGTTTTCTGGTGCTCACCTCTCATGCTATACTGTAACAGTTTTATACGGAATTGTATGACAAGTTCATTGGTCAAACATGTAGTTTTCAGAATTTTCTATCAACTTCAGTAATGATTAACTTCATGCCACAGACTCAACCATGCCGTTCACTTACGCAAAGTGGTTTTATGGCTCTGTATGCTCTTCGGCAATTGAATGTCAGTCTGCCTTTGTGTTGATAATTGTACGTTGTGATGTTGTCACTTCTTGGCTTAAGTGTCCTCTTTACCAGGAAGACCGACCGAGCAGACTGGCCTGCATCAGTTGAATAAACAGGGTTCGTTCCATGTGAATCTGTTAATTAAAGGAAAAGAAAGGAAACAGGCAGCTGGCTTGCTGTGGCGGTTTTAAATCATTAATTTGTATAAAGAAGTGAAAGAGATGTATAGTAAGTAAATTAATTGTAAACAAAACTTTTTTAACGCAATGCTTTAGTATTTTAGTACTGTAAAAAATTAAATATATATATATACATATATATATATGGATTTGAAGCAGAATTCACATCATGATGGTGCTACTCAACCTGCTACAAATATATCATAATGTGAGCTAAGAATTCAGTAAAGGTTTGAGTGGTGTTCCTACTGTCATATACCTCAACACTAGTTTGGCAATAGGATATTGAACTGAGAGTGAAAGCTTAGAGCATCATGTACCATCATTTTTTTTCCAAGTCTTTCTTTTTTATAATTAAAACGCATACCTTTTTGTTCAGTACTTGATTTCTTAGCAAGTATAACTTGAACGTCAACCTTTTTGTTCTAAAAATCAGGGATATTTCAGCTCATGTTCTCCTTATGCCAACATGTCACCTGTGTTTATGTAAAATTGTAGGTTAATAAACATATTCTTTGTCAGGGATTTAAACCTTTTACTTTGAATCCCTCCTATTTTGCTTGTATATGTCCTCATGTAACTAAAACTAATTTTGTATATCTGTTGACCCCTTTTATTGTAAAGAAAAGCATTTTAAAAGTTTGGGGAGTATTTTGATTGTTTTGAGCAGGAAAAAAATTACATGAAAATAGAATGCACTGAGTTGATAAAGGGAAACTTGTAAGGCAGGAGTTTGGCAAGTGGCTGCTGGCTAGAGTCTTTGAACTCTCTAAATAAAGATGTTTTATCCTGTAATCAGTAGAGGTACAGATCCATAAGGACGTCCCCAAACAGGCAAAACATTTAGGGGTATGGTGTGCAATCGACTGTACAATTACATTTTGGTCTAAGTACACTTTTGCTTACTAAAATTTCAAATAAATTCTTAATCAAGGAAGCCTTTGAGATTTATTGGTCAAATCTTTCTTTATAACATGGCTTTTGTCTTTTTAAAAACTTTCCTTTCTGGCTGTGATCAATTTACAAATATTTCAAAAACATTTGTTTTGCCAATGTCAAACCACATGATTTAAAATATTTTACATATCGCATGTATTTAATGCCATGTATTTGGTTACTACATGCATATTTGTTGGTTTTAGTCATCCATCCCTTTATGAATATTTGGTTTCTATATCATTCACTGTCACTTGTCAAACTGCTAGCCAGCAAGAGCAGGAAGTATAGTTTGGGGGGTTCAGGAGAGGTTAGGTAGGGAGAAGAGAAAATTGAATGGCATATTGTAAATATCAGATCTATAATTGTAAATATAAAACCTGCCTCAGAATGAATGGCAAGCAAATCTCCAGTTTGCTTATATAGGAATATCAGGTTGACTATATAGCCATACTTGAAAAATGCTTCTGAGTGGTGTCAACTTTACTTGAATGAATTTTTCATCTTGATTGACGCACAGTGGTGTACAGTTCACTTCTCAAGCTAGTGGTCAACTTGTGTAGGAAACTTTTGCAGTTTGACACTAAGATAATGAGCTCTGTGTGCATTTTTTCTATGCTTTTTTAAAAACTTAGTTTCATTTCATTTTCATGAAATGTTTGGTTTGTCTATAAAATCTGAGGATGGTTATAAATACTGTAAGTATTGTAATGTTATGAATGCAAGTTATTTGAAAGCGTTTATTATTATATCATTCCTGATAACGCTATTAGAGTGTTTTTAATAAAATTTATATTTATTTAATGCACTCTAAGTATTGTCTTGTTAAAGTTTCTGTTTACTGCTTAAGTTATTGTCATCTCAATGAGGCTAAAGGGAATAAAAAGAATTCTTTTTTTAAAGATAATTTTAGTCATTCTTAATGTTAAACTATATCTAGAGTAATATCCACATAATTAAGGCCAAAATATTTCTCTGGTTAAATAGTTTAGGTATTAACCTTTTTCCAGTTTGCTTTTTAGCCTATTCACCTAACTTGAGTAGCCAGTGTAAGTCAGGAATAAAATAATAGCATCTGCTGACCTTCATTAGCCTGACCACCCCTTCCTGTGTGTAGTTTGTGAGGGCCACCAGCAACAGCAGGTACACTGGGGTTGAGTTCACATTTCTGTGGTCTAAGGCCACCCTGATTTTTAGATTCACATTTCCCTCCTTATGTCCACTCTTCTCAAGGAAGATTCCACTTCCTGCCCATCCAAAAGGCAGATTGTGTTGGACAGGAAGAGAGGTGAGGGGTGGGCTGGGCAGCACCACATAGACATGCATGTCCTCATCCATTCCATGTGGCTTCAGGGAGCTGGAGGCTAGGGTGTCCTCATCTCTGCCCCTTCTTTGTCTCACGCAGCACCACTGCACTCCTGCTGAAGCACTTCCTAGAAACACAAGCTATCCAACACAGTAACTAATTATAGTTATGTGCTTTCAGCCCTTCCCATCCCCCATCCCTCCTCCCACCCCTGCCCAACATCTATCCCTTCCTTTCCCAAACTGGCAGAGAAATCATTGTCATCATGCAGTAAGTAAGGAAAGTCCTTTCCCCATATTTCCCTCTCTGTTCAGCCTAGGCCAAATCTGATTTAAATAGTCCTTCCTGAGCCCACCTTTGAGCTTGACTGGGTGATTCCTCCAGCACTCTACTCAAAGCCAGCATAGTAAAAGCAGCGGCAATATCACTTAAAAGCAGTGATCCAATGATTTCTTTAAAAAAAATTCAGCCCTTTAGGGACATTGTCAACCCTCATTTCACATCCTTCCTCTGACTGAGCCTTGGGAACCTCCCACTCCTCATTTGCTAGTCTGCCATGCCCAGGGCAAAGGGAGCTCAAAGCTTTTCCTGTCAGGCCCTATGCAGATCCCACTGGCTGAGTCAGGTGATGCCAGTGCCCTGTAAACGAAGGTGCGGGCAGGCCTGCTGCTGTGAGTCTGCAGGTGGACCTAGACAGGGAGGCAGCTGGGAATGACAGATGAGCCATCATTCACGACGTTCTGTGGGTCCCTTGCCTCCTCTGGAAATACTTGCCAAGAGTGAACCTTTGCAGGCAGGCAGGCAGGCAGGCAGGCACACAGCTGCCCTGGCACACACAGTACCACTGCTCCTTTCTTCAGTCTCATATGATAACCGAGTCAATTTATCATAAAAATCCTCCTGCTTGGGGTAATTCTAGCTTAGCTCTGACTCCTGCCTCACTCATCTGCGTTGTACTTGATCAAGTGTGAGAACCTGATTCAGGGAGAAAAGACCTTGGTTTTGTTGGTTTAAAGGCCACCTGGCGGTGAGTATCCAGCATAAATGGAAGGCTGAGAGAGTGCATCAATGGGAGGGGAGAGTGCTTACTGCACAAAGACAAGTGATCATTAACTTCAGTCACATGGCTCACTAGTAAGGGGGCGGGGTCTTTTCTCAATGCCCGCTTCCCCTGAGAAACACACTCTCCAGTTGCTGGAGTGGTGAGAAAACTTTCATAAAAGATGTGGAGATGACAATTAGCTGCAATTATAGATCATTTCAGTTTTACCAGCACTCTTCAGTTTCAAGTAACAAAGAAACTTTTGTTCCCAAATATTCGAGGCCACCTGCCTACATTTCCCTCTCTTACCAGGCAATTTCTCACAAATCTCTTTGCTTGTCTAGCCAGCGTTCACTCTTGAAAGGAGCCACTCTTTTCCTTGCATATGCACTTGACGAATATGCTTTCTTTGGGGACGTCCTTTTGTGCTGCTTCAAAAGGAATTTCTCTACTCAGTATGACATTTTATTCTCTAATCAGTTCTTTTTTATATATATATCACCATGCAATAGTTTATTTGTTTATTTTTTTTAATTGTTTTATTGCTTAAAGTATTACAAAGAATATTACATATGTCTCCTTTTTTCCCCCGCCCTTGACAATCCCCTGGCCTCCCCTACCCCCCAGTGTCTTATGTCCATTGGTTATGCTTATATGCATGCATACAAGTTCTTCGGTTGAT